AAAAGTAACATAATTGTGTCAAAGAATAGCTCTATTTTTAATATGAAAATAAATGTTTTTTTCATTTCTTATTTTTACATCAGAAAACCACAGAAGGATTTTCTTTTCGCCTTCATTTATAAGATTTTATGCGTAATAATCTGCCTTCTTATTTTAAGAGTTAGGTAGTACCGCATGGTTAAAAAAAATTTACATTTTACCATATTTTATCTCAAATATAACTTTTCTGGACAAAGCTGCTAACAGTCATAAAACCTAATATTAACCTGAAGGTTTAAGGTTTTAAAATGACCAAGGTTTCATAGTGATTATCGGTTACGTTAATGTTAAGAAAAGACGTTTTGAAATGAAAGAGTGAGTTTCCCAACTAAACCTATTAGAGAAAGCATGATGTTATATCACTGGTAGTTCCCTTTTCGTTTGGTTCTAAGTCTCTGACGGGACAGAATGTCACAGAATCTCCACTACAAGCTGCACCTCTGATGAGAGCGGGGAGTTAAGATGGGAAATGCAAGGCAGAAAGATGGTAAGATGACACAAAGGGCATTATAATCAATATAGGACTTGTGTGCCTGTTTTGTGTGTATACATCTGTCTGAAAGACCACAGCAATGTTTAGGACCAGTAGATTCCTGGATGCCTCTATGCTTGGGCTAAGAAAAGTTGAAGGACCACTAATTGAGTTGTTCTCTGCTTTGAGGAGTCATTGATTCATATTGACTATGGTTATGTATACTGATTTACTATTGGCTGCAAAGATATCCTTTATCTTAAAGCACCAACATTATTCCTGTATTGTTCGGAAATTAGTCAACACGTATTTATAGAATGCTTATTATGTGCCAGGCATTGTCTTAAAAGAAGGGATGAGGAGAATTTGAATAATACATGCCCCGTCAGTGCCGGAGTCAGCAGTTCCATCGCGTTCATTTTGCCTTTTTAGTGACCTTACCATTTGCATGCAACTCCGGAGTTAACAGCAATGTTTCAGCAGCTCAGGGACTGCAGCTGGTCTAGGTGGTGACCATGCATTAGAGAAACTGCTGTGTTTGTCCTGTTTCCCTCACATAGCACAGAGCTGCTCTTAGAGGGGTGATTGCCTCAGATACATAACGACTTCCTGAAACACAGTCTCTATGTATCTGAAGGTAATCTGGTTTGCAGGAGCAACTGCTGTTTTCAGGCTCTGTTGCATCATATGAATCTAATGTATTTTAGGCATCAGTTAAACAGAAGAAACTTCTGCTGGAAAACAAAACAAAAACAGCAAATATTCTGTCCCTAATTATATGTAGCTTATCTTGATCCTATTATGTTTTTAACTATCATCTTGGTCCCTGTAGTTGACAAACTGGCGGGAGGTGGGCAAAAGGAAATATACTTGGCTTTATAATGAACTGAAGTGGAATTGCCTCTTTTTTACACCATTGTCATTGACATTTCCTCACAGTTTACGTGTTCTGAACATTATATTTCCTTCGGGATTAAATTTTCCTCAGTCAATAGTGCCTTTGTGTAATTTGTTCTTATTTTCAGAAGAGACTGTGAAAACAGACTTGAAGAGTAAACAGAGTGTCTTTTTTATTTTCTTTTGAAATTAAAAAAAAATTTTTTTTTATTGAAGTACCGTCAGTTACAAAGTGTCAATCTCTGGTGTACAGCACAATGTCCCAGTCATGCATCTACATACATATATTCATTGTCATATACTTTTTCATTAAAGGTTATTACAAGATATTGAACATAGTTCCCTGTGCTATACAGAAGAAACTTTTTTTAAATCTATTTTTATATATAGTGGCTAAGATTTGTAAATCTCAAACTCCCAGATTTATGCCTTCCCACCCCCTTTCCCCGGGAACCATAAGATTTAAACAGTAGTGTGGATCTTTGAAAAGACCATTAGTCTGGGCTTCAGGAGATCTAGATGTTAGACTGGGCTCTGCTATTAAATAGGTGTATGAGCTTGAATTTAACTTGAATCTGTTTCCTTATATAAAATAAAGAACATATCCTTCTTAAGTCTAGAACTCTTAATTCTAAGATATCAATAAGTAATGAACCAGTTCTGGAAATATGCATCTGATGTCCATTAATTCCCACAGAGCTGGGTCCTTCTAAAAGGTGCTAATGAGCTCTTAACACCTTCAGAGCCAATTCTTGGTATGATGCCCAAGCTGTCATTGTTTATAAAGCTATATATAAATAGTCTATTTTTGAGAAAGCTCTTTTGATGCTCTCTGATGCAGCATGTCCATTTTAATAACTTACCTTGGTTTTAGAAATTAACATGTTAGGCTCAAAATAAGAATTCTGTTGTTCTTATTAATTTTTCAATTAACACGTTCTACAAATTACCATATTTTTCTTTGTCCCTAAAAAGACTTCAGAAGGCTTTTTTTTATTTTTTATTTTTATGTTGAATAAGAAAAACAGCAGTGGGGAGGGTATAGCTCAGTAGTAGAGTATGTGCTTAGCATGCACGAGGTCCTGGGTTCAAACCTCAGTACCTCCGTTAAAATAAATAAATAAATAAACCTAATTATCTCCCCCTCCCCTAAAAAACAACAAGCAAAAGATCAGACTGAAAATATTCATCTTAAGATAAATGTGTTTAAGCAGCCTCATAGGCTATTGAGATAAAATTGTCAATATATGTAATCATATGCCACCTCGTTTGCCTCACCACAAGTTGGTGTGACAATGGCCAAGGAAGCAGGCTCTGGAAATTTTGCCTTACGTGCCTGACAAAGCAGATGGGAGCTTCTTTTCTCCAATTTCAAAATTGTGTGTATAAAATGTTTGCTAATTTGACATTTGTTGTTTAATAAATTGTAATCCCAGAGCCAAAAATGAATGGCGCTTTCTTTTTTATTTCTGTTTCTAATACGAGCAACCACATAATCTCACTGTCTGTGAACATCAAAAGAACATTTGTTAGCTTCAGTAATGGCATACCGTATGTAAACCCAAGGGCGTGTTTAATCGCGATCTTGCCTTGTGTTTCTTGGTTGGAAGGTTGTCCAAGCAAACACGGTGGATGAACGCACTAACTTTCTTGTGGAAGAATACTCGACTTCCGGGCGCTTGGACAACATCACCCAGGTCATGAGTCTGCACACGCAGTACCTGGAGTCTTTCCTGAGGAGCCAGTTCTACATGCTGCGCATGGACGGCCCGCTCCCTCTGCCGCACCGGCACTACATCGCCATCATGGTGCGCTGCGTCCCCGG